AGTTTTTATTATAGTAAATATAAAACGTTGTTTTTAATTATTTATTATAATTTTAAAATAATTTTATATCATTGTGATTTTTATGGTATGTATATATTTCTTTTACATTTCATGGATTTGTGAATAACAAATAGTTTATTTATGTAAAAATGAACAATATATAAAGTGTTTATACAAACCCTAGAACACTGTATTCACATGTAAATTTATATAAATAGAGGATGAAAAATATTTTGTGCAAGACAATAAACTATTCATTTATGTGTTGCCTGTCTGACCTAGCATGCACAGGGGCACAGCGGTATGTCTGTGGACTTATACAGCTAGAAACCGGGTTTTGATACTCGTGGTGGGCAGAACACAGATAGCCCTTGTGTAGCTTTGTGCTTAATAACAAACAACAACAACAATAATAGCATGGCCTGGTGGCTAGAACGCCCAACTCGAAATATGTGAGTCGCGGGATCGAAACCCGTCACTAAACATGCTCTCCCTTTTAGTCCTGGAGGCGTTATAATGGGACGGTCAATCAAACTATTCATTCGTAAAGAGTAGCCAAAGACTTGGTCGTGGGTGCTGCTGACGGTTACCTTTCCTATGGTGGGTTGTTCAAAATTAGGAACAGTGGTAGATAGAAGTAGTAACTTCGTCACAAACAAACCAACAAAAAGTGTTGACTGAAACGTTTTCTGGTCCTACGTATACAGAATTTCTACCCTTCCAGCTTAGAAAATAAAATAACTAAGTACACCAGCTTTGAATACCAGTATTACCTATAAACTGCTATTATTATTTAACCGCGGGGAATTGAACCCCAGATTTTTTTACTTAATTAAGCAAGATTGTGATGTATAGAACTGCACGAAGAAACCATTCACACGTTAGTCTGCCTATATCGAATTTAGAGAGTGCAATTTGAAGAATTTGAAAACCAAACGATTTAATTTCAAATTTAAAAAAGAAAAGAAAAAAAAAACGTCAAAAGATTGATTTAGATAGTAAATAATTCATAAGAATATTAAATGTGGAATAAGTGAAATTATTTAAAATGTTCGCAAGTGCATATAGCCCAGTTAAGGTTGATTTTCTAATTGTAAGACTTAAAATATCTTAATAAATGAATGTGAACAAAGAAGAAGCAACAGAAGAGAAAACAACACTAACTAGTCTATAAAATACCGAGAGATGGGCGAGAACCTTGAAACTATCCAGCGAGGATGTTTTGACAGTAACAGTCAAGGCCAAGGTCAACGGACCATTCACTCACATTCCTTCGCACTTTGAGCATCAAGGTTATCCAGCTTCTATTCCCCAGAGGTCGTTCTAGTGGGTAGATGACCTCTGACTGTAGGTCAGTCGGCCAGAATAGTCTTTCGGGTGAAAAAAAAATTCTGACTATTCAGTTTTCTTTTTTCTTCTTTTCGAGCGAGCTAACTGGCTTTATAGAATGAGATAAATATATGGTGTCTGAAGATCAAAGAGGTCGAAATATTTCCTTGTATGATACTCATTACTAACTAGTAAAATCTGTTTTTACAACGAATGTTTGGTTGTAAACTCTTTTGCACTTCCTAAAGCACCCTTAAATAAAGTGAAAAGTTACTGCAGTAACGTAATATTAACAACATGGAGTCCAAAACTAAAATTATGGCGTATAATAGCACTTTCAGACGCCATTAGAAAATGTTTACACGCTGATAAATGGAAATATCTAGCAGAACAAGTAAGATATTCAAATACCATGTGGCGCCTCTTGTCCGCTTATTTAGCAAAACATTCAACATTCCATTCCAATTACTGGTTTTAATTTTCTAGTTCTACACAGCCTAAGTTTCAACTAATAACCAAATAAAACTTGCTGATATGTGATATTATTTATTTTTAAACAATGATCGAAGTTTTCCTATAAGGCTTGCCTTGTTAATTTTATTATGTTTATTTATACATCCAAAAGAAACTACCAGTATTGGAGTCGAAAAAAAAAACTGTGCACGTAACATATCTTGGGAAAACACTATTTAAGAGAGAAAAAATATTAACAACGGTATACCAGCAGACTTTTACTTTAAAAGTTCCCTTCTTTGTGCATATACTAAAGAATGCTATATGAGAAGTATATAGTTTCCATTAACTGTGAAACATGAAATCCAATGGAACTACTTTTTTTTTCATTTACCAACAATATACGAAGAAAATGATCAGACGAAACACAAAAATGAAAGGTACAAATGGAAGTTCCTCTAAGGTAATAAAATTTAAGAAAAGTGTCTTACTCTTCTAAGAGTTTTATCACAATAGTATTTGTTTTATACAATTAAATTTGAATTGATTCGCAGGAAAAAATTATAGTTCTAATTATCTAGAGGATAAAGAATTAATAATTTACTGAGGATACTTTATCTTAACTAACGTTTTGGAGGATTTTTAGTTTCTACCTTCCATTATTTTCCACTTTCCTTCTTGTGTTGGTAACTGAAGCTTTGAAGATGTAGTCTCTGTATAAAAAGAAACTCTCTTGAATTCATTTTTATACAAGTAGTGTAACCTCTATATTGCTGTTTTCAGTATACACGTAAACATGTATAAATAAAATAATACTCACCTAAATTTCTATTGACTTAAATATATTTATAAAACAATTTTTTACACATAATATGCCCAGTCTCCATAGAACGCCAAAGATTTTTTTTTTCAAATACACTTTTGTTCAGTCCTCTGCAGTATCAATTTCACGTATATTCTAACTTACAAATTTTAACTCCTAAAACATTTAAGTATTGTGTCAGTATGATTACTTTTGGAAGTACAACGAAAAACATTTTACAGCTTTACACAAAGCAGATCCTAAGGTCGTCTTTTGTTCGTTGGAGACAGAATGTTAAAAAATGCAGTATATTTGAAATGTTTTATTTCGTTACTAAGGGAGAAAAGTTTTCAACATACAACTGATAATAGAAAATGTGAACAAGGTACACGAACTGATTTCTTAACCTTAGAGAGAGATAATTAGCAAAATATCGATTTCAGGATAAAGCTAAAACGTTCTTAGCTTTCAAACTTAATATGTTTGTTGTTTGTTTGTTTTTTGAATTTCGCGCAAAGCTACACGAGGACTATCCGCGCTAGCCGTCCCTAATTTAGCAGTGAAAGACGAATTTCAAAATTAGAAGAAGAAAATCTTAAACTTACTTGCTTGTCTTTGCAAATGTATTAAATATAAACTTTATTTCAACTTTTAAAAAACATTAAGTGATAGCTTATTTTTTATTTAATTCGGCATTATCAATTTATTCGAATACTTGTACTTTTCTTTTTCTTCTAAAAATAAATGTTTGTTTGTCTTTGAATTTCGCGCAAAGCTACACGAGGACTATCCGCGTTAGCCGTCCCTAAATTAGCAGTGTAAGACTAGAGGGAAGGCAGCTAGTCATCACCACGCACCGCCAACTCTGGGGCTACTCTTTTACCAACGAATAGTGGGATTGATCGTCACATTATGACGCCTACACTCAGATTGCGAGTCGAGCGCCCTAACCACCTGGCCATGCCGGGCCTGCCTCTAAAATAAATATTCAGATTTATAAGACATGAACTTTTAAACACTTTTAAAGATCATTTTAAGAATGAATTCTCTTCTAACCTTGTCCTATTCAGAAGATGAACTTAAACTCGCATTTTCGGATTGAGATTTTCCCAAACAAAATTTTTAACTTAATATTTGTTTTGAGTTTTCTATAAATGGAAATTATAAAATAATTTTTAAAAAGCACAAACACAATAAAAATAATGTGTCTTACATTTTATTATTTTGTATTATTCTTTACAATGACGTTTATTACGCTCAAAAATAATTATTCCTCGAATAACAGAAAATGATAATTTGAAGCAATGTGATTCCTTTGTTTCTAACAATAAAAAAAGGTATAATTATAATTTCTTTATTTTTAATAATACATGTGTTTTTTTTCTTGGGAAAAAGAATATTCTCTATTTTTTGTTGTTGTTGTTTTTAATTCATTTGGAGTTAAACAATTATAACGTGGTTCATAATCCCTTGATATTTCTAAAAATATGATGAAAGTCTGGACATATCATATAACTGTATATAAAAATGTTCCCTTATTAAATACTAATTAAACAAATTATCATGTTTATTAACAGTAATCATGTAAGTAGCTCGCTTCTTCTATTTTAATTTGTATATTATTTCATATTTTGTTTGTTTGTAGCTAAGCACAAAACGCCCCCCAGTGGTACAGCGGTATGTCGGCGGACTTACAACGCTAAAAACCGGGTTTCGATACCCGTGGTGGGTAGAGCACAGATATCCCTTTGGGTAGCTTTGTGCTTATTGTTATTGTTTATTATTAAGCACAAAGCTACACAAAGGGCTATCTGTGCTCTGTCCATCACGAGTTAGGGCTAATGCATATGAGTTTGGGGTTAAATAACTCCGCCACGAAGTCCTGGTGGTTAAAGCCCTCGACTCGCAATCTGCAGGTCACGGGTTTGAATCCCATCACCGAACATACTAATCCTTTCAGCCGTGGGAACGTTACAATATTACGGTCAATTCTACTATTTGTTTGTCAAGAGTAATCCAAAACCTGGCAGTGGGTGGTGTTGACTAGTCTATTACTTCTAAATTTGGGAAGGCTAGAGTAGCTAGCTTTCACAGAGCGAAATTCAACAAAGAAAAAAAGAACTACATCTTTTCAGAGAGAATTGGGATGATTTTACTCAATTACTTTGTGTTTATCCTTTTGAACTGTTGTATATCAGCAATGTTAATTATAAATCTGCACCAAAAACACATGATGTGTAATTTTGAAACACACTAGTAAATATCATTTTATCAAGATTGTTTGTTTTCGAATTTCGCGCAAAGCTACACGAGGGCTATCTGCGCTA